TATATTTAATAATAAATTCAGTAAGCGGTTGCCTACTCTTAGGCTATTAAACTGTCTTATATAGGGTAGGATGTGTGATTTGATGTGAGGATTTAATTACCTTTTACTTGACTCTTCTAAGTAATTATCCTCAATCACACAGAAATGAACAACGATACCTATGGGTCTGTGTCTGTAGGAGAAGGACTATCCAGGTACTTTAAAGCAAAGACTTTTTGTTTTCTGTTCTGGGGCAAGTCTTTCTTCATAATGAGAGCACTTCATTTGTATCAAGCATTATTCTAACTACTTTATTATGATCATCTTCTTTGCTCTACACAGCAGCACTAGTGTTAGAGTCATTTTTGGATTAAAAAAAGAACCCAGACAGATTAAGTCACTTGCTCAAGACCACACGACATACTAAATGATGAAACCAGAACAAAAGCCTTGGCCATTTGATTCTAGAGCCTTTACTGTTAACCATGGGAGATAAACCGTTTGATGGAAACAATAGTATCTGTTAGAGTGTCTCAGAAAGAAAGCCTGTTTTTCTAACTAAATAGTGGCTATAAATACATTTTCAGCTTTCGTTAGAGCACACTTTCTTCTCTCAACTCAAGTGAACAGGAAGTCCGGCGTTTGGATTTGTGGGAAATTCGTCAGCAGGTTTAGCTGAAAGCTGAACCTTTTATAGTCTCATTTGGAATTAACACTTACTTTAAAAAACTTCCTCAAACATATCTCGAGAACAGAAATGGAGCTCACCCCAAATGCATCTTTGGATTCAGCTGTGAGTGTAGGGTTCGAATGTGAGCAGAAGTCCCTCTCCTTCCCTTCTTTACTGGTGTGAGGGCTGCCCACGAACTCCACGCAGCAAGTTAGGAACAGTCTGGTACCAGTCACATGGTGTATTGGTGAGGCAGGCAGACTGAACTTCAGAAATTAAATTTTCTCTATCTTAGAAAACTGAAAAATAAAAACCAATAAATACTACTATTACCTTTTCTCAGTCTTATTATAATAGGATGTCGTTCTGAATCAGTATTACTGATAATACTTTACGCTTGGTCCGTGTTTCCAATTTGCTCTCACAGATTTTATCTTATTTAATCCTCACAAAACTCTGTGGTGTTGGGACTGTCCAGCCAGGACTTGAATCCAGAACTTTAACATGCATACCAGATTTCCTTCTACTACAGATTCATTAATTTACTGTTTCATTCATGTAACAAATATACATTGAGTAACCACTGTGTACCAGGACTATATTCTAAGAACTTAGGGTAAAACACTGAACAAAATAGTCAGAAATCCTTGTTTTCATGCTAGTTGACCAGTGTAGGGTGGGGGTAGTGGTGGTAGAAATTGGATAAGAGGGAAATAGTTTCTATGTGATGAGTATTGAAGAACTAATGGATTAATAAAGTATATTGAAAATAAGTATTTCAATATCAGTTATTGACAACCTTGTTAATTCATTCATATCTAGACATATTTTCTTAAGCAGAACATGTGTATTTAATTCTGATTTTGAGATACAGATATAGAACCTTAACATATAACTGTTGAATGAATAAATGAAAGAATGAACGGGGTAGAAGCGTGAAAGTCATTAGATTTAGGGAAAAGATCTGTGATTTCTGTACTGATTTTGGCTTAACTGATTTATCTATTTATTTGACAAATATGTATTGAGTGCATACTCTGTGCCCTAAAAATAAGTATCAATAAAGAAATACGTGGTCCTTGCTGTCAGAATGTTAACAGTTTTATGGGAAATACAAAATAAAACCGAAGCTAGCATTATCATTCTGTGATAGGGGAAAATACATGACGGTATGGAGAGGAACACAGCCATCAAACGTAGACTCAAAGAGACAGGAGAACTTCTGGGTGGAAGTGACGTTTACATCTGGGGAACAGAAGGGAAAGAAATTGGAGGGATTAAAAAATAAAATAAATACTTTTTTTAAAGTTTAAAATTAAAAAAAAATTCATGTACAAAGGCCCAGAGACTACAAAGAGTACAACTGATTTTCTAAACTATCAGAATCTGTTTATGGAGGGTTTGGGTTCTCTGAGTCTTTAGAAGGAAGAACAACTTACTGTCTTTCCTACCTCTGCTAGCCTTTTGTCTCCTTCTATCCTGTAGTGTAAATAAAATTTTTCATTAAGTGAAACTGGTCTCACTAGGTATAATTTAAGTAATAAAGCTTCAAGATTTAACTTGAATCGTATCGTCAAGCACAGTGTCTCCAACATCAGGAAAATGCCTGACCTAGAATAAATGCTCAATAAATTGCTGCTGACTGAAGAGAAGTTACTGACTTAAAGCCTGAAAGTGGCCAACTCTTAGAGTGAGTACAGGGCAGACACCAAGAAGAAATGTCTGAGGGACAGTCTGACCTATCTTTGATGATGTCCGTTTACCTGGAACCTCAACATAAACTGCTAGGATGTTAAATTAAATGATCCCATGTTAACCTGCAGCAGTATGATCACTTTCTTTGTAAGTTGTATCTTTGCAAACACTTCTGTGACTCAGTGAGCTCATTTAACTCATAGTCTAGAAAATAGGGAGAGAGAAATCAAAAAAGACTTAACAGGAAAAAAAAATCACAGTAGAATATTCTATGAGGGACTGCTCTCATCCACCAAATGGAATTTTTATGTATGAGGTAAATTGATTTAAGGAGCCAAATTCTGTTAGTGTGTCACTTGAATAGATTTAAATCTGAATGTGTTGTCCTTTCTACTAATGCATACCTGGAAAGATGTGTTTAGTCACAGTTAACTGAAGTGTCACTTTTTAATGAAGTGTGAGTTTTTCCTATTCTTTTGCTATGGACTGTCAGGTTACTAAGCTTCATTTACCTGCAATGCAGAGACTAAACTTTCAGAAATGTAATCTATGGCGAAATACCAGGGAGTGTTTGATGTGGTTTAAATAAATTAAAATATGTAGTGATGGCAATATCTTGATTAAACACAGTAGTACAAATTTGGGCTGATAGCCTTTTTTCTGTATGTGTGTGTATATATATGTATGTTCAGTTTACAATGTTGTGTCAATTTCTGGTGTACAGCATAATGCTCCAGTCATATATGAACATACATATATTCATTTTCACCATAAGCCACCACAAGATATTGAATATGGTTCCCTGTGCTATACAGTGGAAACTTGTTGTTTATTTATTTTATATATATTAATTAGTGTCTGCAAATCTCGAACTCCCAGTTTATCCCTTCCCACCCCCTTCCCATGCCTGTGAGTCTCCATGTCTCTGACAAATCAGTTCGTTTGTCTTTTTTTCAGATTCCACATGTAAGTAATATCATATGGTATTTTTCTTTCTCTTTCCAGCTTACTTCACTTGGAATGACAATCTCCAGTTCCATCCATGTTGCTGCAAATAGCATTATTTTATTATTTCTTTATGGCTGAGTAGTGTTGCATTGTATAAATATACCACACTTCTTCATCCAGTCATCTGTCAATGGACATTTATTGTTTCCATATCTTGGCTATTGTATATAGTGCTGCTGTGAACATTAAGGTGCATGTATCTGCAAAGGCCTTCTTGAACACTAAATTACTGTATGGTTGACATAAGGGCAGATTCATGGTTATTGTTAGAACTTATGAGATATTTCCTTATACTAGAATTTTTTCCTAAGAATTTTCCAAAAGCCAAGTTTAGATTTTTGAGGCATAGGCTATGCTTCTCTGGGGAAAAGTCCCCCTTCTAAGAGGAAATGTCTCCATTGAACAGCTGATCTTTTTCCAGCAAGGAATGTGAATAATGATGCTTAACACGGTGAGAATAATTATGGTAATAATATTACACTTTGTAATTAGAAAATAACCTTTCACATAGGTTGATATTCATAGCTCTCTTGTGAGGTAGATGTGATTACCACTATATACTAAATAGAAAATAGAAGCCCAGGGGAGTAAAGCAACTGAGAAGCAACCAAGGAAACTCACTATGAATTAGGAAATGGTAGAGCTCCAACTGAAAGCAACTCTTTTGTTCTCATTATATGTGTCTTCTCACTACATCATGCAATGTTTAAGGCAGGCCCAGGATACACACTCTCTTAATCAGGGTTTTCCAGAGAAACAGAACCAATAGGATACCTATATCTATGGCATCTATATTTATACCAAATCTATGTCTACATCTATGTGTATATCTATACACAGACTTTTTTGTATTTTTAAGGAATTGGTTCAAATGATTGTGGTTTGGTGACTCCAGAATCACATGCGACAATCCAGCAAGCTGGAGAGTCATAGTAATTACAGTTACAGTCCAGAGGGAGTTTCCAGTAGAATTCCTTCCTACTTTGTGTGTAGGGTGGGGATGGGGGTGGAGGGAAGGAGGTCAGTCTTTGTCTATTAAGGTCTTCAACTGACTGGAAGAGGTTTGCCCACATTACAGAGGGTAATCTGCTTTACTCAATGTCTAGATTTAAATATTAATCTCATCCAAAAAAAAATCCACTTTCACAGAAACATCCAGATTAACGTTTGACCGAATATCTGGGCACAGTAGCCCAGCCAAGGTCACACACATAACACATACCAGGATGTTTCCAGCCAGAATGCACAGAAGGATATTGGATGTAATTAGTTAAGTCATGGATGCCATTAGCAAAGTCAATGATCCAACATTCTACAGATTTCACATTCCAAGTATTTCTACTGAACATTATTAACTTTAGTCCCATTTGAGCCTTTTGCTCTCTTTCTTTTATGGACATGTGCTTCAGACTATTTCAGAGTCACCATGGGTTTCATAGCCTTTGTCCACAGACTTTTCTTACCTGACTTGGCATGGTAAATGAAGCATAATGAGTGCCCCAGATGTGCCTAGAGCTCTTGGAAGAATCTCCATAGGGAAAGTAGAAAAATAAAAACAGCACGCATTGCTCATCTCCTACATTTAGGTAATGTGTACCTCATCAGGGTGAGGTAGAAATGATCTCAGTTTTACAAATGAAGAATCAAAGGACCAGAGAGGGTAAGTAATAGGCCTATGATCATACAAATAGAATGGAGTGCAGATGGGGTTCACACCAATTTCTTTTTGGTGTGCCTGCTCTTTTCATTTTGCTACCAAGAACTCTTGTATGCACATGAGGAAGCCGATTGGCAGATTTCTCCATCATTTATCTTGTTACAGTGCTTCTTTACTCTGGGAGCATATATGCAGGCTAAATTTTCATTGGGAACTTTACTACATCACTTGGGACCTTCTATTCTCAAGAAATAATTCATGTAAATTATAGCTGGAGACTAGACAGAATATAAGATGAATTTCAGTCTTTACATCCTAAGTCATGTTGTAAATTGTTTTTTATAGCTTAGTACAATAAAACTATAATAAGACCTTTGCTCATATAAGCTTTAGAAAATAGTATTCTATTCATCAGAAAATCACATCTGATAGGCCAGAAACAACATAATGTAAATGAAAATTAGTAGGAGTTGGAGCCTGGGGTTTTAGCTTTGGCCCCTTCATTTACTTGATTGTGGCATGGCAGCAGATATGACTAGTTATCTTCTTGGCATCCAGTTCTTTTTTCTTCCCTGCTGGCAGATCACTAATTTTATTTAGGTATCTCCCTCCCCAGCCAGTCTCAGGGAAGGATGCATCTATTTCCAGTTCTAGGGTAAATCATGATTGGTCTGGTCCAATCATGGCCATTCCTATCTGTTTGCTAATGATTGGTTTAGACTCAGTCCTGGCCAATGAGACATGAAAGGAGGTCTGCAAAAGTTTCCTCACTCCTAAGAAGATACAAAAAAATTAAGCTGCTTTTTTTTTTAGCAGTTTTTCATTCCTATGAATATTTTCTTATTGATATTTTACCTGAAATGAATGCATCCATATTTGACCACAAATTAGCCAGTCTTAAAGTAAATCTGATTCAGGAGTTGGCAAAACACGGAAGGAAACAGAAGCTCCCCAGTTCCATGGTGACACCTCTGAGACACTGATCAGACTAAGTCTAGATTACCCAGCCTCTAGATGACCTCCTGGGTCAAGCTAGAATGATATTCTTTATTGTAAGCCAGGTTTTCTATTACTTTAGCCAAATGTATCCTAAATGATACAGTTTGCTTTTAATGAAAAAGAAACAGCACCTTCTTTTGGTGATTCTACAAGCTTTGGGTTTTGTTGTTTTTTTGCAGACATACTAGAAATATAAAACATAAGCAAAAATAAAATAATATAAAATAAAACAAACTACTCCAAGATGAAAAGATAATGCCCCTCACTTTTCTCACTAAAGCTTATGTGGTGAACAAGTCATTTATCCTCTCTGGGGCTCGATGTCCTTAACTGTCAATGGAAATGATAATATATATACTACATAGGAATTTAATATAATAATGGATATAAAGCACTTTAGTGCTGGACATCTTATAAGTTCTAAATAAAGGCTAATTCTCAGTAAGTGTTTATTGACTCTCTGTACTATTCACTTATTCTGTAACAATTTTTGTTTCAAAAATCTTTTATAAGCTTCGTTACCCACTTTCATTTCCTATAGAAAACAAATTTTAAAATATATAGGCTTTTGTATATATCTCATTGTATCTTTATATAATCTTTAAAAGCTCAGAAAAGTTACATTGGTAAAAAGTAGCAGAGCCCAAGACTTCTGTGTTTCTGGTGCTTTCTTTAATACAGCATAACACACTTCCTGGAAGTAACAGAATTGAAGAAGGGAATTGGCTGCTAAAGTCTAGCAAAGTATGTAACAAAGTGAAAACTAGAAATATGGTCACGGAGGAAGAGATAGATGATCTCCACAAAGTGACTGCAAGGACTGGGCTGAGAACTGTAAGGCAAGCAAAAATACACATCTAAAGACACCTTAGGGAATCACTGTATTACAGAGAAGCACATACATGATTTTTAGAAAAGGTCATATTCAATATATTCTCTTAATTAAAAAAATAAAATGTACAACATGATATTCTATAAATGCTACTTAGTATTTTCCAGTTAAATGTACTGGTAGCAAATTCCTATGACTGCCATTGAAATGATACTATATAGATAAAGTATTGAATTATGTACAGGGTCCACTGAAATGGCATGACTAGCAAGTAATAGAAAAATAAAACCATGAATTTGATATTTGTCTTCAGTAATAAATTTATATTATAATATAGAGGACAGTACATTGAACTAAGTACAAATTTCAGTTGAGTCCATTTAATAACTTTTGTGACCATGAGCAAGTATGTATCTTAGTTTCACATATAAGGTGAGGTCACTGGAATGGGGGAATAATCTTCTTTCTCTATAATTCCATGACTATAACTTTTTAAAACTTTTTTTAGAAGTAATATAAGTATCTAGATTTATAGGAAAATTGCAAAGATATTATAGAGAGCTCTCATATAACTCCATGCTAACTTTCTCCTTTATTATATTAGTATGGTACATTTGTAACTATTAATGAATATAGATACACTGTTATTAATTAAAGTCTGTACTTTATTCTTATTTTCTTAGTTTTTATGTAATATCCTTTTCTATTCCAGAATATCATCCAGGGTACCACATTCAGTCATTGTGTCTCCCTAGGTGCCTCTTGACTGTGTCAGTTTTTCAGATTTTCCTTGTTTTTTTGTTTTTTTTTTTTGCAAAAAGCTTTATTGTTTCCATTTGGTCCAAGGCTTGGGAGAGGGCTCCAGGATGGTTAAAAAGCTGCCTGGCGACTGCAGAGAGGCTTCAGGCAGGAGCCCTGACACCAGAGGGGCTTGGTAAAGGCCGCTGGGTTGCAGAGGCTCCTAGTCGTGCTTGAGGGAGAGCCTTTCGAAGAGACACCTGCCCAGCCCAGCGTGGGGACCAGAGGTTAGTCAGGTGGTCGCCATCTTCTTGATGAGTTTCACCTCCTCACCCAGGAAGTGGCTCTCCCGGAAGTCACAGAGGTGTGGGTCTGCGCGGGCAGAACCCAGGGCATGCAGATCCAAAAGGGCCTGCTTCAGGTTCTTCTCCAGGACAATAGCAGCTTCCTTGGCGTACTGGATTTTACGCCACTCACCTCGAGAGGCCCCTGCACGTCCTGGAAGAGGGCGTGGCCGCCGCCCTGGTTTTGCTTTTTCAAGACACGCTCCGCGCCCTCTGGCTTCCCCTTGGCCAATTTGTGGAAAAAAAAAGTGGCCCACGCCCTCCAGAGCCACATCATCGTGGTCGAAATAGAAGCCCAGAGAGAGGTAGGTGTAGGAGGCCTGCAGATGCATGTTGAGCAGCCTCCATCTCGCTGGAATAATTCTGACGAATCTGGGAGCTCATGGTTGAGCGGTAACAAGGAGTTTAGCTCACAAAATGGTGTTGGCTGCTCCCGGAGGCTGAGGATAGCAGAGGGGCTGGTTCTGAAGGTTGCGCCTGGAAAGAAGGTTGAAGGGTGGTCGGAGGCTGGAGCAAGGGGCGTCCCTGGGTCTGTTCCGTCCAAACACTGTTGAAGCAAGAGGCAGGTCCGCGGGACCGCCACACACACTGCCAGGCTTTCCTTGTTTTTGATGACAACAGTTTTGAGGCATATTGATCAGATGTCTTTTTTTAGAATATCTCTCTATTGAGACTTGTGTTATGTTTTTCTTATGATTAGACTGGGGCTATAGGTTTTGGAGAGGAAGAACGTAGTGCTAAGTGCCTGTAGGGACTCATGGATGTTTATTTTGTAGTTTGGGGTATAATCCAATACAACTTTGTTGATTTTATTGCCCAGATTGCACCAGATTTAACCATTGTAAATGCTCAGTTATTTGACTTCTGTGTCCTTTTGACACACACTCATAGTTTCATCACGTCCTTCCTTTGTGGCACTGCAACATGCTCCAGGCTTATCTTGTATCTTTTCTGTCCCAGTCTTAGACTCAGCTCTCTCTCAAAGGAGCTCTGGAACCTTTTATTAAGGAACAGTATTATAAACCAAAATCAGAACATTAGATGTGTTATTGCTGCTTGAGTGCCGTTGCCTCCAGGCCCTCTCACTGACAGAACAAGGAAATATATGTGTACACACTAACATGTGTACGTACAAGCCCAGAAAGATTTCTGAGTGTAACAGTCTTTATCTATGTTAAGTTGAACATGAGTTCATGCTGTCTCCAACTCTGATCCATTCCCACATGGACCATTCTACCCTCCTCCTCTTGTTCCTCTATAACCTCCCATTCCAAAAGCGAGAACTTGTTTCCACCATTCACCATCCATTTACTTAGCTGTGACATGTGTAGAGGTTTCAGAATTGTTAAATAATTTCCTTGTGGGGAACAACTTAACAACTAGAGAATAGAACTTTCGTGCAGTTGCTTTTGTCTTTACTGGACTCCTTTTATTTACAGAGTTACTTAGGTTAACACCTTTTCCTCTGCTACTGTAGTAATTTTTAACTTAACAGCATAGTCTTCAAATTGTTAATGATAACATTTTAAAACAAATATCCATATGTAAACTTTTGCCAGATCAACATGAAAAAATAGACATCATATTTCTCCAAACTTCTTTCATAATTTCTTCTTTTTCATTTATTAACAAGGATAAGATGAGTATACATTTCTTTGAGGCCCAAATGATTTTTAAATTTAAAATCTGTCAGTCCAAAGTGCTACTTTTTCACCTTTAGAAGGTGCTCCTTTTTTGTATTTTAATTTAAGAAGACTCTACTTTTGACAGCTGTATTCAGTTTTGTAAAAGTACTTTTACTGGTTCACACATAGATTTTCTTTGTAGTTTTATGATTAAGAAACATTACTTTTAAGAAAACTTTGAAGTATCTAACCCTGATAATGTATAAAACATTTTCATATATATTTCATCTTATTTCAAAGAGAATCTTAAGGAGATAGATGGGCAAGTTTTGTCAGTTTTACTTTACAAATAAAGAAATTGAGATTTAGTTAATCCCTTGTTCATGTGACTTTAAAATGCCAGAGTAAGAAACAGAACCCAAATCTTCTGTCTCCCTGTTCTTTTTGTCATCTCCAAATTGATTCACTCTAATATGTACTTCATTTTTTTTAACATTTTCATAATTAATTGATGATACTGATAAAAGCAATATTACTAATCAGCAGTGCAAGATTGACCATAATGCTTAGTAATTAAAATATTGTGCAAAAGTGAGCTACAAGGCAGTAATGTTCTTTGAAATAGAGCAGTGATTCTTACAAGTGGCGTATAGCTGGATGTTGTGATACATATTTTATTACATATCTGAATTTTACAAAGCCTTAAAGTGGAAAGTTTTAAATGAAATAGATTTTTGGTAAAGCAAGTTAAAATTAATTTTAAGTTGCTGAAACTCATTATTATTTTTACACGCTTCTTCTATTGCATTACGTTAGTTTCCTAGGGCTGCTGTAACAAACTGCTGGACCCTAGGGGACTTAAAACAACAGAAATATATTCTCTCATTGTTCCAGAGACCAGAAGCCTGAAATCAAGGGATTAGCAAGGTTGGATCCTTTCGGAGGCTCTCAGGGAAAATCAGTCTGTACCATGCCTCTCTGGTAGATGCTGGTCACGTAAGCTCTGGCAGCTGTTAGCCATCTTTGGTTTATATATGTGTCCCTCCAGTATTTAACTCCGTCCTCACACATCTTTCTCCTTGCGTCTCTTTTCCCTTTTTCTGTCTCTCTTGTATGGATACTCATGACTGGATGCAGGGTCTACCCTAAATTTGCATGATCTCATCTCAAGATTCAAAGACCCCATTTCCAAATAAGACCACATTCACAGGTATCAGAATTTAGCACTTGGACATATCTTTTTGAGGCCACTATTCAGTCCGCTACAGGTATGCGGCTTAGATAGTAAAATTCAGATGATTCAGAACAACATTAAAAAATTGTGTTAGTTACATGATCCTGGGGTAATTTTGTAATGCTGATGATGGATGTGATAAATGGAAAAGCTCCCTTACTTGTTAGGAAAAGAGCTTAAGTATGTTGAAAATAATTTTATATGTTATAGTAATTATATATCATAATTCTTTTCATTATATAAAAATGTAATGTACCCTTACTATAGTCAATATTATGTTTCATTACTGAAAGAGCATTTTACCAAATATTTTGTACACATTATAATCTCTGTTTGACTAATATCCTAATCTAAAAAAAAACTAATTGAAGTATCTCTTTAGTAATCTCCAAATTTCTGATTTTTTAATATTTAAATTTATTGTATATTCTCTGGAGTACCAGAATGTGGATGACAAGTTAGGAAACATAGTAACCAGTCTTCCTCTGGTTGCTTCCCTTGGGGCTTTTTCTTTCTGTATCCTTATTTGTTTGATTTCATTCCCAAAAAATAGTTAGAAAATAAATGAATAATTTTTTGAACATATGATCACTATAAAATTTAATATATATCAGCTTTATAAATTGCTGCTCTCTTTCTTTTTTTTTTTTTTTTTTTGCCTTTTCAAGATCTTGAATATTTTAAGATTTCTTTCTTCCTTTTCTTTGGACCTGGGGAAACAAATTGTATATCTGGGACTTTTTTAGAAGACAAATTGTGACTCCCATGTTGGTCTTTCTGGGACTTTACATAGGTGGCTATGCTAGTTTCAAATTCAAGATCTAAAATCCCAAGCCTCTCAAAAATTATATTAGTTTACTAATTTTATTTTATTTGGCAGAGTCATTTCAGATTTGATCCTAGCCCACAGACCTAATCATCACAATTTTATTTTTGGTCTCTAGAACAAAATCGTTTTTCATTTTAACTAAGTACCGGTACAAAATAATGGGGTGTCCTGTATCAGCCCTTTAAACTAATTTACAACTTGTAAAATCCCCAAATAATCCTCTCAATTGGTGAGAGACAGATGAGTTAGAGAAGTCCTCTGTTAAGATTGAAATGCTATGTGGAAGTAGAAAAACATTAAATCATTAATACCTTAACTTGATTTAGTGAATTGGTTTATTGGATTAGCTCTAGCAGAGAGCAGGACCCCGAGAGAATAACATGCATGATAGATTAGGTTTTGGTGAAGGACTACAATGTCTTTGGCATCACTTCTTATTGTTTTATGGGCTTTGCTGTAATTGTTTTATAGGTAGATCTGAATCTACCAACATTTTTATCATAATCCCCTGGGTTTCCTGGCATTAGGTGATAGCTGGTAGTAGGTATTAGGGGTGCTCTGACAAACTTCCTGCCACTTTGGTGTTTGAGAGATAATACAAATTGTGAAGTATCTACTCTGTAAAAGAAAATTAAACAATTTACTGCTCATGGTGTTCTCCCAATGAGACAGAAAAGACCCATCGTATATATATATATATATATATATATATATATATATATATATATATATATATATATATATATATATATATATATATGAAAAAATATTAAAAATCATTCATTCAGAAATGTGTGAGAGCAATCTGGTTTTAACATATGGTGCCTCATTGGAATTCATAGGGATTGTCTGGCTAAGCAGATGTCTTCTCACCTTAGTGAGAATGCTTGTCTTGGCAGAACTGGACTGTTCTATTATATATATAGAATGCATTCAACAAAGCTATCGACAACTTGCTTTGTGCAAGGCACTTGACTATATGCCATAGAGGATGCCAAAATTGATAGGACAAAAATGTCTTCTTAGAAGTAGTTAGGTCTGTTAGCAGGGATGGAATGTGTATACTGATAATTACATTTGAGGTACGTGGCTAAGTGCTATCTGACTGTTGTTCTGTTTAGAAAGGGACATCTAATGGCTCAGGTCCTCTAGGACAGTCCCTAGGAAAGGGAATATTTGATGGGAGTCTGAATGATGAAAAGGATTTCAGTAGTCCAAGATGAGATAAAGGTCTGATATAGAAAAACACACTTAACAAGTAGAAGGGCATGAGCTATTTGTTTATTCATTCATTTATTTATTTACTTATAATGAAAATTGACTGACTAGAAATTAGAGCTTAATGAGTATTATGGCTGGGAAAAACAAGTGTGCCAGATACAGGGAATGATCCCAAAGCTGGACCAAAGAGCTAGA